TTGGCATATTTCTGTGTGATGGGGTATAATTCAGGTACAAATTGGGGCAGAATATCTGTATGCAACAGAGTATAATTTGTGGCCCATACTGAGGGCTGAATAAATCTTTTGCCGATCAGTTCGTAACAAAAGACAAATTCAGTATTTTTTCTGTACGTCTGTTTTTAGTGAAAAACTCAAAAAAAGGCCTATTTTCGGGGAAAACGCACATACACTTCATCGTTTGGGAAAAAAATTACATTTTCACACAATTCACACACAGAGCTAACTAAAATATATAACACGCAGGTAGTCAAATGTCATCTTCACTGTGAAATACAGGTTTGAATATAAACGCTCACGAACCTGGGTATTATCCTTCAATAAATTCAACACTGTGAATAATCATGTGTTTCTTTGACACGAATACATATGACAAAAACATTGATAGGAATACCATGGAACTACAAGGGTGGTTTGTAATTTACACTAATTAAAAATCTATGTGGTAATTTTATTGGAAAATAAATCACAAACATTTTTAATAATTTTTTTCACTTTCAACAGAAAATTTTGTTTGTTTTTACATTCAGATAGTAAAATCTCTAGAAGGTGCTGAAATTTGCATAGAATAATTTGATATATTTATAGATACTATTACATCTAATTTGGAATGAGCATAAAATGTCTTGGTATTGACCTGCTGACTAATTTTCTCTGCAGGAGTTCTTCTTTCTTATTTTTCTGAGCTCATTGGTGACTTTCACCTTTCTCGTACTATTTTAACCTTCCTTTCTTGAGATGGATACTACCAGTAACAAACTTGCCTTGCGCATATTTCTAGTATGTATTCCTACACTTTCCATTGACAGAGAGGGCACCATAATATGCAGTAAATTGTCTTAGAACGATGTTCGTCTTTAAATCAATAGAAAGTCCCTAAGCTATTTTTTTCATAATCGTTGCTGGCGGGCGATATTTAAAGCGCGGTGGTCATCGCACAGCGTGTGTTCGAATTTCGTGTAAATAAACAATGTATTTTACACGCGTTGTATACGTCGCTATGAGTCCATATCGAACAGGACGTGGCACGACGACAGCTGCCCTTTAAATCCACTTTTGGCTAGTTACTTGCTGGTAGTATTAAAAAAATAAAAACGATGCGATATTCAAGGGGCGGCCAACGATGCCTAACAAAGAAACCCAAGTTAACCCCACCCCGGACCCCACCTTCCTCGCGATCGAGTCACCGTCCATGCGGCATAACAAATCCATCCACCCGTATTGCCGATTAGAACCACTGTTAGTACGACTAAAAAACATTTCCATATCAAAGAGTGAACACGTCGTGTTGTATTACTGCATAAACGCA